GTCTGAAGGCCTTAGGGACTGTGATCACATGACTGGTCAAACCGGTTTTGCAGGTCCTGAAAAAGCCAGAAAATAGAACAAAAGCCAAGAAGTATAAATCCTTAGTCCAGGGGGGCCAAAGGCATATCCAAGATCCTTGTAGGATATCACTCCATCAAGGACTGGAGTGGGATTATAAATGCAACAGAGTTTTCTAGAACCTTCAGGTTGCTTCTCCAGCAATCCTACTTGAAGAGTTCTGATACATTTTAAGTAAATCTATTTCAAGCTTACCTGAGTAGCACTTCCAGATTTAAAGGGCCCCGCATTCCTTGCCAGGGAGCCTTGCATCGGAGGGTACTAGCAGAGATTCTGAAAGTCTATAGAGCTTGATTTGGATCCACTGTCACCCCCTGGCTGCTCTGAGAGGCTCTTGTCCTAGAAATCGCTGGGGATACGGAAAGCTATAGGGTAAACCCGGAGGACTTTCCCTGGAGCATTCATTTTGCTTGATGATAATTATCCAAGAATATTTTTATACCTAAGTAACATAATAGAGTACAATGTGAGCTTTGTATGAATTTTAAGGAGAAACATTGCCTTCACAGAAATCTACACTGTTGGTGGGTTATGTTAGGTATTTAGGGTCACTCTTCTCCGTGCAGTGGGAAGGCTCTGGTGGAAAAGTTTTGAAAGCAGTCAACAGGTGACAATACTTTGGCAGGTGCAGAGCTCTGTACAGGTGATATCTGTAGATCAGCATCGCCTTGAGGACAGTGCCATGTGTCATATTTATCTCTCTCTCCCTAGTCTCTTCCCAAATAACAGAGAAGAACAACAACATTGGGGGAAAATTAACAAAGACCTCATGCTCTGAAGAAAACCATGGTGACATCTTGGTGGCCACCTTTGCAGGTACCTCTTGACGCATGCGTACAATTTAGATATGTGGATTCTCCTTCACATCAGAGGTGATCATGTTTGTCTTTGTGCTGAGAAACTTTTAAAAAGTTCATATTAGTTTGACTTAAGTTGACTCAAACAAAACCAACATTTCCAGATACCCGCTCTTGGCAAACAAGGTCACGTGTGAATGGAGAGCCTTTTACGTTTTCCAAGAGTTAATAAACACCATCTCTCTCTTTCTTTTTTTTTTTTTTTAATATTTTTAAATGTTTATTTACTTTTTAAATATTTTGTTATTTTTTAAAATGTTTTATTTCCGAGAGTGAGAGAGAGACAGCATGAGCAGGGGAGGGTCAGAGAGAGAGAGGAAGATACAGAATCTGAAGCAGGCTCCAGGCTCTGAGCTAGCTGTCAGCACAGAGCCCAGTGCGGGGCTCAAACCCACGAACCATGAAATCATGACCTGAGCTGAAGTCGGACACTTAACCGACTGAGCCATCCAGGCGCCCCATGTTTATTTACTTTTGAGAGACAGAGACAGAGCATGAGAGGGGGAGGGGCACAGGGAGAGAGACAGAGAGAGAGAGAGAGACAGACAGACAGACAGACGGAATCTGAAGCAGGCTCCAGGCTCCAAGCTGTCAGCAGAGAGCTCAATGTGGGGCTTAAACCCACAAACTACAAGATTATGATCTGAGCTGAAGTCAGAAGCTTAACTGACTGAGCCACCCAGGTGCCCCTCTCTTTCTTTTTTAAACAACAACAATAGTAACAACAAAAGTTGGACTTAGAGGTATTCGATACGTGATTGTTGGACATGTTTCCCAAGCTGGACGTTACAGCAGATCACCCTCCAGGTCAGAAGGAATGTGTGCCAGTGAAAGGTTCTCATCTTGGTTGTGAGGCCTGGGCTAGCGGGACATCGTCTGCCGATGACTTGCCTGGTTCCACCATCACCGATGGCCTCTCCTGAGCCTCCAGTGGTGTGACGAGACCCCTCAGGATGAACCTAGGAAGCCAAGCCCATCTGCCCATATTGACGGTTCCCATCATGACACGAGCCAGCTGGGGTGGCCACGAGCCAAGAGTGGCCAACAGCGGAGGCCCAGTGAGTGTGGTGGGCAGGAAGGCAGAAGAGGCCCTCCTCGGAGGTCCTGGATATGGCTCTGCCAGCAGGGCTCTGGTGGCTCTGTGTGGAGCCCAGCCCTGGCCACACCTGCCCAGCCTGGGGGCATGGGCTGCTTTGAGCAAAACCTTTGCCCTGAGAGTGACTTTACAGAATGTTCTATAAACAGGGCTTCAAATGGGGACGGCAGCCCCAAACCTCTCTCTGTGTTGTGCTGGAGGGAAGAGGCCAGGGCTGCAGGCTCTGCCCTGACTTTCTTCCTTTTATGGCAGGGAGGAGGAAAACTAAAATTTTACTGGAAAAGCCAGAACAACACGTTTTATAAGTATCTTGAAGTTATAGAATTTGCTAGAGAAAGGGAATGGGAGAGCCAGGAGCCTTCATTTATTTATTTATTTTTTAATGTTTTATTTATTTCTGAGAGAGAGAGAGAGCACGCATGAGCAGGGGAGGGGCAGAGAGAAGGGGAGACACAGAATCCGAAACAGGCTCCAGGCTCTGAGCGGTCAGCACAGAGCTCGACGCGGGGCCTGAACCCACAAACCACGAGATCATGACCTGAGCCGAAGTCAGACGCCCAACCTACTGAGCCACCCAGGCGCCCCAGGAGCCTTCCGTTTAAAATGTGGTGACCTAGGTGTCTGACTGGATAGGAATGGGAAAGGGAAGAATCTGGGAGAAAGTCTAGACTCCTGGTCTACCGTGGATCGGTCCTGACTTTCAGCGTCTGCCGGATTGCTTCTCTCCATACCGCCAGCCCCTCAACACACACACTCTCTCTCACACACACACACACACACACACACATCCATGAGTGGGAATTTCAGATGCCAACTTTCCTTTGAGCTAGTGTTAATAAAAAAGATGGTCTCCTTAAGGGTAACCTATAAAAGTCAGACCTGGGGGAAAAGGGGGAAACTCTTAATTCCAAGTGCCTAATAGTTATGACACATGTATCATAATTAAGGCATCAGCTTTTTGGGGCACCTGGGTGGCTCAGTCAGTTAAGCATCTGACTCTTGATTTTGGCTCAGGTCATGATCTCACAGTTTGTGAGACCAAGCCCTGTGTCGGGCTCTGCACTGACAGCATGGATCTTGCTTGGGATTCTCCCTCTTCCTCTCTCTCTTTCTGCCCCCTCTCCCTCCTCTCCCTTCCTCTCTTTCTCTCTCTCTCTCTGTTTCAAAATAAATAAATAAACTTAAAAAAAAGACCCTGGCTTTTGAATCAATCTGGATAGCACTGTAGTCCTTCCATCTATGAGCCGTAAGACCTTGGCCACCTTGCTTAACACGTCTGTGAAATGGGGACATTACCCAGAGGGCGTGCGGGTGGGGTGCACTAATGTACCCCAAGCACCCCGCAGAGTGCCTGGCCTACAGTAAGTGCTCAGTAGGTGGCAGCTGACTAGAAAAACCTACATGAGGACTGACCTCACCAAGCCCCAGCCTTTCTGGGGCTCAGCTGAATAAGGACATGAGCTTTGAGACCTTGGTCCACACCCCACCCACAGCCCACAGCCTTCCTCTGAGGCCTGGCCATGTCCGCGCTCACAGTCGGGGCCACACTCCCGTACTTCCGTGCCCTTTTGTTCTCAGTGGTGCTGTCGGCTCCCCAATACCTTTAAACTCTCAAGCAACCGGCTTTATACTTACATATCCCTCCTGTTCAGCAGTGTGCATTCATTAGTGGATCCCTATATCAGGGGCAGTGTAGCCTACTGGCTACGAACACAGGGTTTCAATTCAGATGGAAGTGGGTTTGAATTCCCAGAGCTACTAGCCACCTGTGCAGATCTCTGCAAGCGTTTTCAGGGCTTCTTGGATCTTCCTGACGCAGTAAGATGGGAGCATTAATGGCACTAAATGTTCTTCTAAGAATTAAGTCAGTAATATTTGTAAACACCTAATAAATATTAGCATTTTATTAATACTTTTATTACTAACTATATTTTAAACACATTGAGTGCTAAAGATACAACATAAGAGGACCAAAGGTTTTTGACCTACAGGGAAGAAAGCTGTTATTCGTTGCACATGGCCAGGGTGTGGCTTGGGCTCATTCTTATCTAAGGAGGTTCAGAGTCAGGAGAAAAATGCCATCAGCCCTGACAAAGGAGAGACGAGTCACTCATTACTCATCGGGACTTACCACTTTGCTCAAAGCTCCTATTGTTGCCTGTGGCAAGTTCTGCTTTCCATGTGCATTGGCTGGCAACTGACCATGAATGGTTCTCATGAGGTTACATCCACACATGCTTAAACCCTGTTGTGCAAAGGAGGGAAATCATAGCATTGTCCACAGCCCTTCTGGGCAGTATATGGATTAGTTTCTCTTTCTCTCTCTCTTAAAAGTATGTCTCTTACGTTTTATTTATTTGGTATCTTCTTTTCTCTACTTGATTTCTAAAAAATAAAAAAAAAAACAAAAAAAACATGGCGTCTGCCATGTTAGGTCATGTAACTCTGCTTAAGCTCTTCCAAGATTTCCCATCCCACCCAGATGTAACCCCAGGTCCTCGCAATCGCCCACAAAGCCCTGCCGGGTCTGACCCCTGACCCCTTGCTCACCCCCTTCCCTCCCAGTCCTCAGTCCCAGCCTGCTGACTTGCCTGTAGTTCCGGAACTATGCTGAGCGAACTCTCCCTCAAGACCTTTGTACGTACTGTTTCCTTGCCTGGCATGCTTTTCCCTCAGGTGTTTTCTTGGCTTCTTCTTTCACTTCTCCCAGGCTTTTGCTCAGATATTATCTTACCAGAGAGGACTTTCCTGACAACCTCTTCTGAAACAGTAGTAGCCACCTGTCACTCTGCCCCTTTCATCCTGTTTTGTCTTTCTGTATAGCACTTGTTACCTCCGGAAATGTGGTGTGTGTGTGTGTGTGTGTGTGTGTGTGTGTGTGTGATGGTCCAGCTTCTTCCACTAGAATATAAGCTTCCTGAAGGCAGAGATTTTTATTTTGTTTACCGCTGCAGACCCAGACTTCACACTATCTTGAGACACATGAGCATCAGTAAATACTGACCAAGTGAATATTGAAGGAATGAGAACTCCATGATCCCTAAGCTTGTGCATGTGAGCACAAGGGAGGAGGGATGGCTTCTGTAAACCCACTCCATCAGAAGAGGCTCCGAGTGCCTGTGGTCGGTGCTGACTCACTCCACGCGTGAGAAGACCCAGCATGGGTGGGTGCCTCCTCCCTCGACCATTTTAAGTGATGAGCCTGAAACAGCACAGCCAGCAGATGAGGGAGTGAGTTTCTGATAGCAGGTCTTACGTACTATATATGCTCGATACATGTTTGAATGAAAAGTACCAAAGACAACTCTTGATTTTGGCTCAGGTCATGATCTTGTGGCTCATGGGTTCAAGCCCCACTTCAGGCTCTGTGCTGACAATGTGGAGCCTGCTTGAGATTGTCTCTCTCTCTCTCTGCCTCTCCTCTGCTTATGCTCTCTCTCTCAAAACAAAGAAACTTAAAAACAAAAGGAAAGTACGAAAGACCAAAGGGGAAGAAATGGTTATGTAAAACTAGATCCCCTGAGATTTTTCTTAGTCTTCCTCAAAAGAGGGTTGGAAAGAGGATTTCACAGAGTCAAGAGCAATACTGTTGATGGCATCTTACAAGATGGCCTTTCTCCCCAGTATTTCATGTGATGCTGGGAAATCACAGAAGGCTTTGTTCAATATTAATCATGGTATGTCTTGGAAGATCAGGAAAATGTTTAATGCTCTTTTCACTGTTAAATCACAAATTTTCATGAAGATAAAAGGATATTTCACTTCTTACAGAGATTTTTTAATACAAAAGTCTTTCTTTTTGTAAGAAAAAGAAAAGTCAAATAATACAGAAGACAACAAGGAAAGAAGAATAATGATCAGTCAAGAGCTCATACTCTGACAAACAACACAGGTAACACTGTGGTCATCACTTTTGAGGACACCTCTTGATGCGTATATACATCGTAGATGTGTGGATTCCCCTTAACCTGAAGGGGCTCTTATTCTACGTTTTATAGAAGCTGCTTTCCTTACCCAATGCTGTATTTGGAGGACACGTTTCACATCAAGGTATGTAGATCTCTGACATCACCTTCAATCGCCTTTAATGGAATAATGGTATTCCATTGTGTGTAGCCAGTTTCCTTCTGAGAGATATTTAGGTTTTCCCAACTCTTTGCTGTTGGATGAGATTGTATATACAGGTTACATGGCATGTCTCAGGCAGCTCTTGTCCCATGGGATCCTTCTGTCACCTATGGCATTATCTTTCTGGAAATCTGTCACCGCCATTGGCCAATGGTCTCCCTCCAAATGCCCCAGCCTGGAAAACATGGTCTTAAAGCCCCCCGCCCCTACCCCCATAACCCAGTTCTTATACAAAAATATTTTCTAACATTTATCTATTTTTGAGAGAGACAGAGACAGAGCACGAGCTGGGGAGGAGTAGAGAGACAGGGAGACGCAGAATCTGAACCAGGCTCCAGGCTCTGAGCTGTCAGCACAGAGGCCAACGTGGGGCTCAAGCTCATGAACCACGAGACCATGACCCAAGCTGAAGTCAGATGCTTAACCCACTGAGCCACCCAGGCATCCCCCAAACCCCGTTCTTAATATCAACCAAATAGGATCTATTTGGTTCATCTACCATGAGTGGTGATAATTTTTTTAGAAAAATTCAGAGATGCTTTTATGCTGTATTTGGCATGGATTGTTTCTGCCTCTCTGAATCCCCCCTGTCATTTTCTGATGACAGCAGTTCATGGAGAATCACCCTCTCCTGCCAGATACAGTTTTAGTGGACCTGAGTGTGGGGGCAGCTGGTCATTAAAACCTTGTGTGTGGTTCCCTAAAAAAGCCACCTTCTACTTCCACCCCTTCCCTTTGCCTTCCCGCTCCCCCACCCCACCCCCAGCTCCCAGGTCACAGGTCTGGAAGCTACTGGCTTTGGTGTGAGAGCCCCTCCCAAGACTGGCCCGTCTTGAGCAGAGATGCCAGAGCACCTCCAGGAAGGGGTGTGTGTTCTCCCAGTGGCTCTAAATATCTTCCTTTGTTTCCGGGGCACGGGAGGAGAAAAGGCTTGAGATAACAGACTTCAGTGGTATGTGGGGTTGTCTTCGTTTCTTATTTTCTCGTGTCGTCCCATCATTGAACTTGGCAGGGTGGCCTCTCTTCACTAAACCCTGTTGCCTCATTATCATTAACCTGTTGCACAGCTGAGGGCACAGAAGAACTCTGAGGCTACGTGACCTCCCCTCCCCCCACCCCCCAGGATCACCTGGCAATGCCCGAGCCCTGGGATGCAGGCTTCTGATGGTGGGCGCTGTCCTTGGCAGAGGGGAGGTGGTTCAGGTTACGGAACCAGGTCACGTCTGGGGGCTGGGCTGCTCTTCTGCTTCTCCATTCATGGTCAAAAGAGCCACGGAAGGATGTGGTGAGGAATCCTGGTGGTCTGGTTTCAGAAGGTCTCTGGTCGCAGAGTCTGGAGATGGGTGGTGACATCTTCCCTAGGTCTGTGACCAGTCCTAGGTGGGGAGCTGGAGAGTTCACTGTGACCCTCCACGGCCAACACTAGACACCAAAGGGTATCAGTTGATCCAGCGCCAGGGAGAGAGAGGCGGGGGCGGGCAGGAAGTCCACTCCGCACCAGGCCTGTGCGGGCACGTTCACGTGTGCTGTTTCACTTATTGTCCACGCCTGCGACTCCAACTCCCCTCCTCGTTCACATTGAGGAAATGGGATACTCAGAGCTGCTGGATGGAAAGCAACCGTGATGTGATGAGATGGGCTTTAATTCGTGCGTCTTGATTTCAGAGTTCAGCTCTTTCCTCGTGACCACACTGCCCTCAGTGACACCCCAGGGCAGACTAATTTTGCAATAAATCTCTTTGGATGGAGACGCCTTCCCACGAAGGGGTGCTGGTCCATCTCACAAGGACTCATCAGCGCCATGTGCTTCCTTTACCGGCTGACGTGTCATCTGAGGAGAACAATGTCAGAAGTTGGTGTTTTTCTCGAAAAACTCTTGGTGAGCCTCCCTCCAGACTGCAGTTGGCTCAGGGGCACCATTTTGGCTGCAATCCTGCAGAGTTTCATTTTCACTTTTGTATTGAAAAATCGAAATCTGGGGAATTAGAGCCTTTCCATATTGATTTTTCAGGGGCAAGTGAAAATTACATTCTGTACAGGACCAAGAAAGTGCCACCTTGCACGGTGACAGAACTGACGTTGGCGTGACGTGCGGGAAGGGGCGCGATGGGGCACACAGATGCTGTCTCTGTGTCATCTTTCAGAGCGGCAAAGCAACAACTAATTTTGGATCCACGTAAAATGACTTCTGGAAGTAAAATGTTATCTTGTTTTGTTTTCTGTTGGAAGGAAAGTTGAAGAAAGAGACCTAGGAGAGAAGAAAGAACTTTGGAAACGAGGAGTTGCTGGCGTCTCCTTTCAGCGGGTGGGGGGCAGAGGGGGTCACACCTCTACTCACCCCCTCCCTCCAAGCCTGTTACTTTGGGGAGTATGAGGAAAGCCAACCAGAGTTTGGTTCATCCATCCACTTTGAGGCCCAGTGTGTTCGGGGCTCAGATCTAACTCTGTCACCTACCACCTGGATGCCCTTTGGCAAATTGCCTAATTTCCTGAGCCTCAGTTTTGTCATCTGTGAATTGGAGGTAATAATAAAACTACAGCTTAAGGTTGCAGTGAGGACTGGCTGTGTATCAGTGGACAGCCATCCATGGAAAGCCTCTGGATTTACTGAGACAGGTGTCTGCTGTGTGCATTGGCCTTCTCCTGTTTCTTTTAAGTTTATTTATTTTGAGACAGAGAGTGCAAATCAGAGAGGGGCAGAGAGAGGGGGACAGAGGAGCTGAAGCAGGTTGTACGCTATCAGCCCAGAGCCCAAAGTGAGGCTCGAACCCGGGAATCATGAAATCACGACCTGAGCCAGTCAGAATGCTTAACCGGCTGAGCCACCCAGGCGCTCCCTCCCATTTCTTAGCTGGCTCATCCCCCAAGGAGTTTGAGTGTCACAGGCTGCAGGGCTCCTGGTGCAGGTGGACTATTCGAGGTGCACACAGCCCCTGGGAGTTTAGCGCCCTTCTTCTGTTCCATGGGCGTAAATGCTTCATTGTCGGTTATGAGTTATCCCCCTGCAAAGCCGCCCTCTGGCAAAAGCCATTAATATACAGAAGCAGTTTGTTCTTTTCTTCTTTGCCTCCTTCTCCTTCCCACCCTTCTGAGCACCTGTGCAATGTCCTATCTCCCCTTTTCCGTGTGCAGGCCGGCTGTTGGCATCAGCCATGGCACCCGCAAACGTTTCGGCCTTGGCGTGAGGGGACCAGGTCTGCTTTGAAGATGAAAAGCCCTTGTGGGGGAGGTGGCGCTGAGCAGCTTTATTACCCCGGGGAGCTAGGACCCCGAGCAGCCCTGGGGAGGCGGCGTCGGGCCCCAGCACCGCTGGTGGTGAGTGCCCGGGACGTGGTGAAAGGCAAACTCAGCTGGAAAGGCCAAGTGCAAAGAAGAGGAGCAGATAGATGCTGGGGAGGGTGGGGATGGGGGGGTGGGGGCCGGTACCTCCGCCACGGAACGTCCTCAGGCTCAAGAGCACTCTCCCAACCTGCGCGAGTCCCGCTGGACGTGCCGTGGGACGCGCGCTGGGGCAGACCTGCTTCCCGCGTGCGCGCAGGTGCAGGTGCTGAGCTCGACAGGGCGGGTGGGGGTGGGGGGTGAAACCCTCACACTGGCTGCAGCCAAAGGCCGGGAGGGCGCTGGGCATCCCTGTCCCCAGGCCAAGTGCGAGGGAGTCTTCGGGTGCCTGTCTCTGAAGGTCCTGGCCTCCGCGCAGGTGCTCACCTGGGACGGGGGCTGTGGCTGGATGGCGGGGGGCACGGGGGTCCGGGGAGCCTCCAGCAAGCCGGCCGGGGCCCCAGGAAGGTTGGCCGTGAGAAGTGAGCACCGGACAATAGGTCCCTGAGCTCATGAGTCAGGAAGACCCGAGTTCAGGTCCCAACTCCTCATCTGACTCCCCGTGGGGCCTCAGCCAAGTTCCTTACGCTTGGGGCCTCAGTTTCCCAGGGCTCCCAGGACCCTGCCACGCAATCGTGCCCAGGCCCCCCAACCACCAGGGTCCAGCACAGAGAGTTGGTTTCCTGCCCTTGTACAGTCCTTAGGGAGGAAGACGGCCGGCCATTCAGAAAACTCAAGTCAAGGAGGAGAAGAGGAGCAGGGAGTTTGGGTGACGCCCGCCCTTCTCCCTTCCCAACACTTCCCAGCTGGAGATTCTCCGCTGCCCTGCCTGTTACCTGAGGTGTCTCTCCGCAAGCTGTGCACTGTGTCCGCTTGACCCAGCTTCCTGTCTCCAGAACGTTCTCTGCACTCAGGAAGGCTTGATAAACATCGTGCAGGAACGAACGAGAGGTCAGACCCGGGGTGGGCAGGAGGGCGTCCTCGCTGCCTCCGCCTCTCCCATCCCTGTTTTAAGGAAGGCAACGTGCGTGTTCAGAGGATGCACACTGGCCACATGTCCGGCCCCGTGTCACTCCCCAGCCTCAGTCTGTCCCTCCGGCGTCTCCGAAGCTTCTCCTTAGGTCCCCTCCCCTGTCGGCCACCCCAGCCTGGGAGATGGAACTGTCCTGATCAGGACACAGATGCAGAAGCAGGAGGAGAATGGGGATTCTGGAGCAGGGGCCCCCATTTTACAGATAAGAAAACTGAGGAACTGAGATTTTTTTAAAAAAATTTTTAATGTTCTTTCTTCCTTCCTTAATCTTTCCCTCTTTCTTTCTTTGAGAGAGAGACAGAGCCCTGGAAATGTGTTTAAGATTCTTGCTTCTTTAGGAGCCTGGGTGGCTCAGAGGGTTGAGCAGCTGCAAGCAGGGAGGGGCAGAGACAGAGAGGGAGACACAGAATCCAAAGCAGGCTCCAGACTCTGAGCTGTCAATAGAGAGCCAGACTCAGGGCTCGAACTCACAAACCGTGAGACCATGCCCTGAGCCGAAGTCGGGCACTCAACCACGGAGCCCGCCAGGCGCCCCAAGGAACAGAGATTTAAAAACTCTCCCCACATCACGCAGCTGGCAGATGACAGTATATGAGCTCGATTCCTGGACTGTAGGACGCCTCCGCCCCTTGCCCGTTCCGTGTACACGCATCTGTGTGGATGAAGCAACAGCCGTGGGCTGGGGTCTGCATCGTTCTTTGTGGGTAACAGTGTCTTCTTGGGGGGAAATGCCACTCACTCCTGGAGTCCTTCATCCAGCAAGCGGGTACTGAGCACCCACTGAGTGCCGGGCTCAGCTCTTGTAGCTGGAGAGAAAGTGCAGGTGGGGTTGGCAGTGTCCCCCCCAAAGAGCTTACAAGGGAGCGGGGGGGGGGGGGGGGGCGCGGAGGGCAGCAAGCACCAAATGGCAAGGAAGGAAAACCCCGCAGCGGAACCGAGTCAGCGCTGCCGTGGCGGTGGCCGGCCTGCGCCGGCAGCTCTGCTTCTGTTCAGATCTGTTTTTTTCCCGGTGCCTGAGGGGTCGTCTCCGTGACCCTCACACGGCCAGGAATGGAAATCACTTGTTGAAAACGTAAACAGAGCATAGAATACGCGGCAGCGGATCGCCATCCCCTCTCCTCTTGCCCTTCCTCGGATGCTGTTTATGAGACACGTTCTGCACGCTTCCTACCACATTTTTGCTTGGCTCTTGAAAGCGGAGAGACCAGCTCCTATAAACCCGTGACTTTAATCCAGGTAGGGTCTCTGTGTCACAGGCTAGAGAGCCCCTTCGGTGATGTGACAGAGGACAGAGAAGGGAGAGGTGGGGGTGAACTGGGGGCAAATTCTGGCTTCCCCGGCCCCTCCCTCCTTCCCTGAAATCTGGTTTCTGATGGCATAGAGCAAGGCGCCCTGGCGTCCCTCATCATCGCCACCCAATGGAGGCTGCAGAGATTCCTTTCCTGCCTCATTCTGAGGCGTCCCCCGCAGTTATTCTTGGCGGGTGGATAACAGATCACTATTGATTTTTATTCCTTCCAAGGTATGAGCTGGCATGAGGGACACACGAGATGTTTACCCACCTTATTAATGAGGTATCCGGGGGGCACTCTGGGTTACATAAAAGGCAATAGTGAGGTATTTCCTACAGAACCCAGGAAAGGACCGGTAGTGTCCTGTGTTGTTCTCAGCGACATGCAGCCAGGCTGGCAGACATGCGCTGTCCCCCGCCACTTGGGGGCCGCGAGGACCCAGAGAGACCAAAGCCACCCCTTCACAGCAAGAGGCTGGGTTTACAGGGTTTTGACTCCAAGCAGCCCACCCTTGGGCTGAATGACAACGGGCACTGGGAAGGGCACGGGGTCTTGGTGGCTGGACCCTGGGGTGAGCTTAGCTGAGGGAGGTCGCCCTACCCAAAGCTTCTCTACCCGGTCACTGAACAAAAGTTTAACCCCCTGGCACCTGTTGTGCCTCCAGGACACAAAACAGCTGGCTGAATTGTGTCTCCAGCCTCCGAGTGGCTGCTTTGGCTCCCAGACTCAGCCTCAGTCAGGGCACCTGTCTTTTCTTT